TGTTGCACTGCACAAGTATATTTTGCACTGGTTTTAATTTTTGGCCCTGAGAAGGACCATTGGGTATGTTGCTAGTCAAGTCGAAAGATTGCTTGTTCAAAGTTCGGCTAACAGATGACGAAATTCATTGTCGAGCTGAGCTCATTGCTTAGCAATATGTAAGAGCATCACGTGAGAGTTGTTGCCTTGGTTCCAATGATTAGCTAAAGATCATGAAGGGCTGGCTTGATTCACGTCGGATTCATTAATAACCATCGAAAGACAGACAGGAAATGATTTTTTCGTTTTTGTTTCTAGCCATTTCACCTGTAAAGTTGACTCCTTCCATTTGTCTTGTAGAAAACAATATCAGTTACCATATATGGCTCTAATCGATTGCTGGTTGCATATTTTTGGGTCAGTGCAAACGAATGAAGTGCTGAACTTGTTTACGACAAAAAATCTGTGCATGAAGCGAAATATCTGCTGTGTGTCCATCTTTCACTTCTAGTATGTCATTGACCTTGTCAATGCCGTTGACGTAGGTAATTAGGCGATTTAGAATATCTCAACATCACTCGCTATTTGCATGTAAACTGAAACCCGTTGACAAGCAATTAGTCGTTTCCAGCCTTCGTGCAAGTTGCACGACTGATTACTTTTCAGACGCATGATGAAAAGGTCGTCATCTTAGCCGTTAAAAGCCCACTATTTGAATAGATGGCCAATTAAGATCCGCTACTCAGGGATAAACAGCTGTATGAGTAAAACGTTTGAGCAAGGAGCAAATTCACCGGTACAATTCAGCGAACATTATTAAAGAATCTGACTCAGTGCATTCTGCATCCACTCTGCCACAGATTTGACGGATTAATCTCATCAGATGGTTCGGGAAATGAGCTTTATGCAAACGGATGCTTTACCGTACACAGATTTTAATATCGGGCTAAAGAGACCGTTTCAGCTAAATTAAATTTTTAAATTCTTTTAAATTCACCCTAGCATATAATGTTGATTTTATTCAGGCATCAGTTGAATCAAAGCGCATCTTAGCCGGAAGGAGCATGCATATGCAGCATTGCCCTCTGTCTACCGCGAGTTTCGTTGAACACACTTACGCATTCTACTGTCTCTACTAGGTTTTGCAGGTAAACGATCTGTTACCCATTTATGACCGGTTGATCCTGTGGGAGATATTCTAATTTTGGACTTTTGGACTGTGAGTTCCAATTGTCGCTATAATTTCCTGGGAATTTGATCTGACCTGCTACATTGACATCGCGCTGCCCGCCTCCCCAGTTGAAAACATGCAACGACTCCGTTGCTGACTGCTAGCTTTCTCATTCTGCCGATCTTCGGCAGGCCATCACCTTAGTTTTACGTCTCTCTCTGCTAAAAAATGTTAATCATGTTTGGAATGCCGACTTTTCGAAGTCTGAGTCATTTCCTCAATAGTCCGCACGTCCCTTGGTAACCCTTAGCGACGATCGAGACTTTACAACATTCGATAACGGAATTACCATGAAGTTCAGCCGACTGAGGTTTACGCTAGACCTCGTCAAAGTCTCTAACCTTCGCTGAAACAGGCAAATGGCAGAGTTTCCCCTTTATAGCTTCCTTATTTAATGTTGATCAGAAATGCTTTATCTTAGCTTGACGATTCTTTAGAGTTTCGCTCTATAGCTCAGCATAGTAGATATCATAGTCATTTATTTTGCAACAGTTTACTTGATCAACATGACAATGGAAGCTCATTAATTTTTTTAATTCGTACATAATCGTTCATCTGTTGAAGTGACAGCCTGGAAATAGTGCAGATGCCCATTTCGGTGGGTTGACACAGTGGCTACCTGACACTCGCCAACGATATCTGTCCGTGATGAAGGCCTCAGAGAGTGCTAAACCGTTTCGCTTCTCAAATATACTGGATCAGACTGAGGTTTAGGAGATATCGGGGACAGTTCAGGATATTTGGCATCTTAAATAGACTACAGAGGAAAAAGAAACTTAAGATTTTAGAGGCCTCATAACCGTTTAACTATACAGTATTTTGATGCATGATCAGTCAAGTGTACACCACTGAGGAGAGCGTCAAGTTTTTCAGGGCTTTAATCATTCAAACTTGACTTGGAAACGATTAGCTTCATGATTGGTTCATTCAACGATAAAAAATTAGACCTCTGAGTTTGTTTCTAGGTGATGCTTTTCACCTTTTCTCATGTTTGATTTGATAGAAGAGGCTGCATTTGATTTGTGTTTTGCATTGACAGTTTTCTGAATTTGTGCGTTGTATTGCAAATTTAATCGAACAATGCAAAGTTTCGACTCACCAGGTTTTCTCTGAGTCCATTGCAAATTAATTTATGTTGCCTGTATATCTAAAAGCGGCGAAGAACACGACATGTGACAGGTTACACTCACAATTTCTCCAAGCCTTCATTAAAGGGTCATCAATTCAAATGACTACCTTCTTAATTATATATTCATAATTAATTACAAATGCTGCTGATTCTGATTACGCGCTTGAAACCTCGCCGACAAGTTGTAGCGATACTGTGTCTTAAAGCAGGTAACATTGGCTGAGGCATCATTGTGCACAAAGACAGTGAAAATCAATCAATCAATTTATTTTACTGTTATGGCAGATAATTGGTATCTGCTATTCGGCAGTTTTCGAGGCATTAACAATACATGCTGCGTACGAACCAAGGTAAGCAGACCTCTTTAGTTTGTCTTTAAATTTTGTCGTTTCTGTAGAATCCGTACTAAGTGAAGCACCAAATGAGGGCTGGGTGAGCGACGGAACAGCTCTTTCCAAGCGCACCTGGAGTTTAGTTCTGTCCGCTTGCGAGAAGGTCATACAAATCAGAGGTGGTGTCATCGAGGATCCTGGAGAGGGAGACTTGAAGGCAGGCCAAATCTCTTTCACGGTAACTGGCACGATTGTCTGGTAGACAGGTCAGCCGTCTTTGCAGATAATTTCAAACAGCACCGTAGCACTCTGTGATCGCTGGCCGAAAAGGCTCCAAAGAAAGCTGCGCGTCATCTTCCAGGCTGAGATGTGAAGCAGTGACACATCACATCCCCCCGTTTGAACAGAAACAAAGAAATGTCAATGGCAAGGCAAGTACAGGTCGAAGGAGCAGGGCATTCGCTTGTGTTAAACAAGGATATCGTGGTGAAGATTTTTACAACTCGATTTTGTCTGATAACGATGCTGAAAATCCTCCTTTAGCAGCTACATCATTTGTCTTATGACGAAGGCAAGTATGTTTCCAGATAGTTCATGTAACTGCAGGCATGTTCCATCGTTCATCTGTTAATTCCCGAAGTCAACCGAAGGCTTTCTCCTAGTTTTTTTGCTCGTTGCTGTAGCAACTATTGTTCGAGCTTGCGTTTTATATCCTTCCCATCTCTGGCTCTTAGACCAATTATCTAAGTTGTGTTGTTTGCAGATTTTCGCAGGAAATGAATCAGGCGCCCAATAGTACTCATAGCAGTATGCGCGCTCACGAGGTTAGAACAATATTTGTTGAATATCCATAGCTGGGCATTTTAATAGAGTCAACAATACTTTCCAGGACAAAATTGAGAGCTGCATTGAATAGCAAAGGCGGAAGTACATCTCCCTGGAAAATTCAATAACTAATACGGGACTCGATCCTGATTTCAGTAAATGGTTTCTACCTATGTTTCTTCTGAAAAGGAAGCAAGGTGTCCTTGGGTTCCATACATTAAGACAATCTGGAGTCTTCCTCGAGCTGTTTCTTTCAGTGTTTGCAGAGATTCCATTAGTTTATAGCAGTATGATATCATTCTAATATGGTAAAATATTAAGCTAGTGAGTGTGCATAAGATACTTGAAATGTTATGCATCCTTCCATCCTAACAGTCGGTTTCTCTGCCATTTAGATTGGGTAGTGAACCAAGAGACATACGAATCTTTTCTATCGGTTCTGGTCGGTCGCCAGCGTCCAGACGATCAGTTCCCCTCCAAACGGTTTTGTGACAATAGCCCATTTTGTGGATCTTTTCTCATGTATGTTTGTCGATAATGGAAATTTCATAAATGTAATCTCTCGATTCAGATAGGACATTTCGAATTACTATGTTCCAAGAGCACTGACCCTCATTATACTAGCAAACCTTTAATGAAATTTCATTTTAAACGCTATGGTCATAGACAAAGGCAGATGTAGAAAAAAGTAGTGATTAGTGCTTCGTTCGAAAGGCGCGGACAGCTTAGCTGAACACTGAGTTATGTCTTTATGGACGTCGATATGCGTGTCTGCATGGCGTTGAATTGTCACATGATCGAGCAAAGAGCTGAGAAGCCAAATTCGATTTTTTGTTGATGTTAATTGGCAGCGAGAAAAACATTTAATTCGCTTAGAGAATCTAAACCTTAGACTCTAACCTCACAAATTGGGGAAACTCGTGAGGGGATCCTGTTTGTAGCGAGGAACACGCACATTCATTGCTGTCACTTATCGGTTTTTCATTTATTGTAGACTTTGGACACACTTTCACAAACATTTGTTGATTACTGTTATCATCACGTTTGACAGTTTTATCAATAGACCCTGATTAATTTGTGATATCCGCCTCAATCTCATCTTTTCAATTTGTTTTCTCAGTGCCTCTGTTAGAGCATCGTAAAAAGAACGATTTTTCATTAAGAAACGTTAATCTGACTTAATCTTATGCATCGGTAAAGAATTGTGGGTAAAGAACTTGTGCCTAACCAACTGGTCTAACAGAGCGAACCACTTGCAGCTGTTTAACCGTCTTTCTGGATCTTTCGTTGCAAAAGCGGTCTATCCTGCTAACGTCACCGACCTGGCGAGGCAGTATTCCTCCTCAACTCAGATATTTTGTAAACTGCTGGCTACATTGAAAGTAACGCTGATTTCCCTACATAACTCCAATTGCTGGTACCATTGCTGAGAGGGAAGAAGCGAAATTCTTAAACTGATTGACCTCTTCACACCCCGGTTGCGCTTGCGAATCTATTGTTGCGAATGGGCTGTCATACGCCGTAGCAGCCGCCGCTTATAAATGCAATCTCTCTTTTTAATGATGACATCAGTCTGAATCAAAACAAATTCCACCTTAAATATCATTGCAGAGGTGCATAAATAATATCAATGTAGCAGTTAGAGAATAACGAGGAAGCATCAGTACCAGGACCAAAGAGAAAACAAAAATTTGTTCTTGAAATCTGACTTTCCGTTAGATTGAGGTTCATTAAACTGAGGATATACCATATCCTGGGTCTGTCATTCATCTTATTTCTTCTCCTCATCCAGCTACAGGCAAGATGACGTCAAATGCTGTACAAAGCATTCCATATGGATTGAATAAACAGCATGCGCTCGTCGACCAATTAAATGCTATTCCAGTTATTGCGAGATGTGTCAATCTTGCCAGAGGTTTTCGTTGCAGCCGTATGTCATCAGACTTCCCAATCCGTATTCACTGCGTAATGCGGCGTCATTTACTTACTGATGATGGTTCGATCCCATCCGCATTGTGTATTGTCATTAATAGCCTATACTCTCTTTCTCAGGAGATGGTTTGACAAGTGATCATACCACTTCATTCTTGTACTGATAATGAAATCCTCATTTCTGAGGATTCTTAATTTGTCAGTTTTCCCGTAGGTTGCTTACGTGATGTCCCCTCAGGACCACAGAGGAAGATCTATAGAATCATATCCTAGGCGATGTGTCATAATCAACATATTTTACCCTCCAGTTGTTGCTTGACTTGTCGCTTGCGGCAAATGCCACCGCACTGAACTTCATTACAATGTTTGTCGCTCGTCCTTCAAGGCAGCCAAACGT